CCGAAGAAGTGAACAGCTTCTGCAATTGAGCATGGCGTGGGGTTCGCTTCTCAAGGGATACTGCCAATAGAGACAGCTGTGATCCTGTCTCCAGCAAAACAAATGCATGATTACGTAACCATTCCAAAACGGCTATATCCAGGAATGCACAGCCGCTGCCGCGCTCAATTGAGGTACGCAGCCACGCCTTCTCCATCTCCGGGATTTGGGTTGTAAATGAAAGTTGCAGAATGACTAAAATTTGTGAATTGCGAAATTCTGTCACCATGGGGAATCGAGTCATTAGATTATCGTTCACCCTTTCTGGCATTCACGAAAACGCGCAGAGAACCTCTTTTCTTTGTTTTAACTATGTTCTCTACAGCATACAATACATGACAAAACCTATCCATGCCCTGGAATCCCCTTGTTAGATTGCTTAGATTCATCAGTTGTAGGTGATACCCTTTACGTGATCATCTCCTCTTGCCTCCCTTCTTCCTAACGGGTCCATTCAAAGGCATCCTGGCTCTTTTGGAGTTCGACGTAAGTGGCAAAGGTTCATCCGCGAAAGGCGAAATGGACCATCAATATTTGCGGAGAGATGTTCTTAATATCACTGTTTTATTTGCTTGTCGAATTGAGCCCTGTCTTTTTGCAACCGTCTTCACTGTGGCCGAGCAACATTTTATGTCATTTTATACATATTTCGAATGTGCACCTTGGAATGTGATGTAATTTCTTCTTCTTCTTATTCTTCAGCGTTTGTCCCGCTCTGTAGCGGGGTCCGCTCTCCTGATTTTGTTACGCCATTTATTCCGGTCGAATGCCTGATCAGGGTGAGCACCAACTATCTTTAAATCCGCGTGCAGCGTGTCAAGCCAACGTTGCCTGGGGCGTCCTCTCGGTCGTTTGCCGAGCACCTCGAGCTGGAGACCAGTTTTGCAGACGGTGTCCGCCTTCGCGCGAAGTACGTACGTGGCCAATCGGAGACGAGATTCTCGCATTTTATCAACTATGGGGCTACGCCAAACTTCTTGCGTATGTCATCGTTGCAAATCCGATCCATGCGGGTGACACCGGCCGTCCAACGTAGCATTTTCATCTCCATCACACTAAGGCGGCTTCGACTTCCTTGGTTGCAGGCCAGCACTCACAAGGGAGGTGTTTCAGGTCATGGCGCGCTTTTTGGAAATGGTTTGTTGCTTGTTGTAGGGGTCCATACAAGGATCACAAAAATGGGTTTCATTTTTGCTATGCGTTTCTGGGTAGGTCAAAAACTGAGTGAAAAGAATTTGACAAGAATGGGCGGTTTTAACAACCTTAATGGGCTCCGTTCTGCTTGTAACTTCGAGCATGCATAGTTTATGAGGTGGTCACTAATTAGGCCTCAAAATAGATTCGATTAAAGTCAAAATGTAAGTATCATGTGGTAACACACTTGGCATGCATCGACGCAAGAGTGATGTTTTTGTCAGCGAACCCTTCACGACCACTGCCAACGGATCGGATGGCGCAGTGGATAACACGACGGGTTCTGGATGGCACGGCAAGGGGGCTTTGTGGATCGGATCCTCCTCGCGGAAAATGTTTTGCATTTTTCAGCTTTCCATTCATTCGCGTGCCTGTGTGTCTGGCAGTGGAAATAAGTCAAGTGAAGGCATATACTTGTGGCCACATTGTGGCCTGAAAGCGTGCTTGTGCTGCCCCTCGTAGCTCATGTCAGAAGGGTTATTGCAATGAAATACCATCACATTTATGTTCAGCGGGTTGGATTACCCCTGGGGACTAATTTCTAGCCAAATCTGACGTTTCGACCTAACTTGGAAAATGTGGGCCATTCTATGGACAATTAGCAGCAGGCTGGGGTCCACCCACCATGGATGACTGGTCTTGGGATGGAATTTTCTACCGGTAATCAGGAAAATGATGCAGGCGGCACGAACAAGTGAGCCAGGTATTGTTCTTTGCGAAAAGACATGACTGAAGGGTTATTTCAGTGCAAAGACCAGTCATCACCAGTATGCTAGTCGGAGTATTGGCTATCATCCAGGCGTGACCATCTCTACCCCGTTTTTTCGAAGTTGAGTCAGAACCTCGGATTTCCTCAAGGTGGCGTTTCTAGGGGTTGTTTGACCCCCTGAACACGAATATGATATCTATTTCGCACGGAGAGAGCTGTGAGTCGCGCTACAGGTGCAAATTCACTGCGCCAGCCCACCCGCAAGAAGAAAAACAGTGAAGGAAAACCTCCATAACTCCGCTCAGAGAATCGTTCCGCAAATTTTGAAGGTAGTTTCGAGTTCACTGTGTCAAGACGAGTACAATGGTATGCAAATGGCCAGGCTTTCTTGGCCTTTCCTGGATGACACCTTACAAACCAGCACAGTTGTGTGGAGAACCTTGTTTCCGGAAATGTTCACGTCTCGTTGCGTTGATACAGATGCAAAACTGTTGCCGCAATGAGGATCCGAACCGAGTCCCGCATTGTCGTGCCATACAGAACCCATCGTGCTATCCGCTACGCCATCTGATCCGCAAGCAATGGTCATGAAGGGAGCGCTGACAAAAACATCACTCTTGCGTCGGTGCATGCCAAGTGTGTTACCACATGATACTTACATTTTGACTTTAATCGAATCTATTTTGAGGCCTAATTAGTGACCACCTCATAAACTATGCATGCTCGAAGTTACAAGCAGAACGGAGCCCATTAAGGTTGTTAAAACCGCCCATTCTTGTCAAATTCTTTTCACTCAGTTTTTGACCTACCCAGAAACGCATAGCAAAAATGAAACCCATTTTTGTGACCCTTGTATGGACCCCTACAACAAGCAATAACACCTCCCTGTCAGTGGACACTACTCTCCAGCAGGGCACATCATTGGTTGGGGATCTTAGTCGAGTCCGAACGACCCCCTCCCTTTTTTTGAGGGTTGGTTTTTGCCCCCCCCCCCGGCCCTCTGTCCCTCGTCCCACCTCATCAAATAGAGCCGTCGACAGGGCACAGCATTCGATGGGGATTTTGGTCGAGCTTTTACGACCCCCCTTTTTTTCAGGGGCTGGTACGACCCCCCCCCCATGCTCGTACGATGGCTGACATGGCTGACTGTGGTTGTGGTTTATACTCGGCGAAAAAGTTGTCGGTGAACCACGTAACTCCTAGCCAGAAATACGACCCCCCTCCAAAACGTCCGCAAAGCGAGAAAAATCAACTATAAAAATAAATTTTTCCCAGCCCAAATACGACCCCCCCCCCATAGGGAATCCCCATCGAACGCTGTGCCCTGGCCGTCGAGCGGGGGTTGGGACATATATAGTACGCATGAAACAGGAAAATCATGAAAAGTCAACCACCACTCCCATCACTCCTAGAAAGACCAGACCTTTTTCCATTGCTCGTGAAGCGAGAAACATCAACTATCAAAATGAATTTTTTCAGCCCAAATACGACCCCCTCTCCTGGCGACCAAATACGACCCCCCCCCCCTATTGGGGATTCCCCAACAACGATGTGCCCTGCTTTCCAGCCCGGTTCCCGTGCATTTTGTTCCAAGAAAGTGGCACACTATGCAGCTGCGGACCCTTTCACCTCGCACAGGCAAGGACCAGGACACACGGGGCTGAGTGTGCAGTCTGTCTTTGGGAGTTCGAAAGCTATCTCTCAATTCTGAGGATAGTATGAGTCTTTTTTCATCGTTTCTATCTGGATACTTAAAGCACTACCAACTAACTTATCCCATCTTTTCTAAAAATGGTTCTCAGGAGAACTGCAGTACTATTTTGGCTTGGAATTTTAGTTAACCTGATAAATCATTTTCACTTTTTTTGGTTGCGTAGCCGTCATACATGCACTCTCAAAGCGATTAGAATAAAAACATAGCTGGAATCGCTTTATGCCTATCCTACTAACGAATAATCCGAAAAGCTCGAAACACTGTGAAAAACAGTAGCACGATAAGCATCAGATACATCCTTTATGTCCTTGTCGTAGCTTAATTATTTATTGTACACCAATTTGTTACGGTAACGTCTGCTGATATTGGATTCGGATTCCTGAGTTCATTTCCATGCAGGACGAGTCATTTGGTTTCCTCTGTGGCCTCTCACTGCTTACTAATTACTGCGTTGTTCTCCGTATATCATAGATCTTTCCCGATTAGTCTATGGTTCCAGGTGTGTGGTGTTACCATGACCACAATGCCTGCTAATTATGGTCCCTGTAGCACATTGAAAAGAGCTATCGTCTAGTGCCGAAGTACTGTTATATTTTATTAGAACAGGGTCTGCTAGATTGTTTCAGCATTGAATAGAATTGGCAAAAATAATGGAAGGTCGTGCCCTAGTCCCCCTAACAGTATGAAAGCAAATTCCGAAAACTTGTCCGTACTGAGCCTTTTCTTGTTTTCAGCCGTTTTTTTCGATTTTTCTTTCATTACCATTTCACTGTCCTAAATAGTGGGCCTATGTTGTGAAGGTATTTTCTATGAGCTTTTCTTATTAAGTCATGGTGATGTCCCTACTGGGTCAGTTAGGAAACAATTTGCTAGTTCGTCAAAAAAATGTCCCAAAACTTACGCCCTGTACGGCTTCAGTGACAACCACTCCGTACATCATCCGTATCAGGACACGATTCCCTCTACGTGACAGTGCTGCGACTCTCTCTCCGATCGACGAGCTCTCTGTTTCCGTATCCCGCAGGTCATCTACTTAGGTGATATTGCCGATGCGCGCTATGCCCTTAGTTGGAAGTAAGCCAGTCAAGCTTATTCCAGCCTATTATTTCGATGTCGTGTACTATGCTATTACTCTGGTAATTACCATCGCTCCTATCCTAGTCTCCAATCTCACCTTTCATGATCCACTTAATGATATTCTTTTTTGATAACCTCGTGCCAGTAAAGTTGCCGGGTTGGGACTTTCAGGCCACTGGAAAAGTATCAGAACTTAAATTCATAGTCTTTTTTAGTGGTGAGTGGAGAGATTTGTCTACACTTGAGTCGGCTTCCTTGAAGGAAGCGATGATGTCGCCCCTGCAACATGGCAAATCGCCGCCCCCGTCACTGGACAAAGCGGTATTTACCAAAATTGATGAACCAACTGATATAAAGCCAAGTTGCTCGAAACCTGTGGTGGGAAAACTACAAATGCTCGTGAGTTTCATGTTTATTTGATTGTGTTTCTAATAGTCGAAAGCGTAGATGTAAATGACACCACAAATTATTAATTATATTTCCTGAGAGCTTAAGTAGTGGGGTGTTTTCCCTGCTAATATGCTTCGCAAAATCGTTTTCTATGTGGGAAGGATTTTAATTAGTAAGCTGTTCTCTGTACAAAATGACGTAATGGTCTGAGAGGTTGTACCGCCCACATAGTCTGCCTATGATTACCATGTACAATGAGGAAATTGGGATCTTAATGTAATGGGAGAAGTTTGTACATACCATAAGACACATATGACATCACTCAAGCGAAAAAAAGAAACCTGCTACTGTCAGCCTTGACGCCGCGATCTCTCTCAAGTGGCAGCAAGCCTGAACTAGTACAATCTGGTCTTACAGGGTCACTCTTACGTGACCAGATCCATGTCCCTGGGCGACAGACGAAAACACACGTTTTGACCTAAGTATCTCCCATCTACCAAGTTCATCTGCATCATAGACGAACTGTGCACTCACCTTCTGGGACGATCCTTTATCCACGGCGCGGAAGAGTGAGTTCGCCGCTGCAGCAGTGTGTCCCTTTTTCCGCTTAAAAGAGCACGGAAACGGGGGAGGAGAAAACGGGGTTGGAGGGCGGTAATACCCGAGTGCTACCTATGCGCCTGGTCTCTTCTCGAAGTGCATGTTTCGCTGCAGGGCCATGAATCGACACAAGTACTGCCCCGTAGCCAACAAACGTTTCTACCGGCTCTAGCTCAAAGGCGCCTTCAGCGATTGCTTTGTTGATGGAGCCATTTGAGGTGCGATTCAGGACGCCCGATGCTTTGCTGCGAGGTCTTGGTGTCGGCGCTAGTGTTGCACCTTCAGGATACCACAGGCGGATTATGCGGCCCCCGGGTACCACTACCTTCGAGCCCTGTTCTGGGCGGAATTGTCACGCTGCTACGCCTGCGAATGCATTCATCTCACACATGGCAAAGATCAGCGACCACAAAACTGAGTGTACAGCTTGTCTCTCATCAGAGCATGCTCTTTACTGTTCCTGGGTTTTCTTGACAGTATTTCGTACTCCCTCCCCCAGTTTAAAGACATTCGGCGATTGCATTGTTGATAGATCCCTTTCGAGGTGAGTTGAGGATACCTGAGGCGCGTATCGCGTGATATGTAACAGGATATCGCCTCTTAGAGGTTCCAGTACGCAGCAGTATTGCTGAATTGTCATGCTGAATCAGCTCGGGTACGAATGCCGTTCACGCTTGACCCTGCTTGAAAAGCTTCTTAAACTGGCCTGTTGGGCTGAACCACATCTATGCTTTCCCGCGAACAAAACAGGTCCGCAGCAGCATGCATAGTACCACTTCATCCCTCGAAGTGCGACTTGAGAACACCATAAGTTGTGGAATCAAGTGTGACAGCACCACCTCCAACATACCTCCACCTGTAGTATATGCAGATGCCCACCTTCATTGCTTGTCTGACTGTTTCTCTATCGTCAGCGCCAAATACTGCCCACTGATGATGAACTTCTCCGCATTTCTACTCAACGTTTCTGCTCGTTTCCGCACGGTAAATGCTGAGCCTTTCTTTTCTGACATTTTCGACGGTTATCTGCTTTCTTTGTTCATCAAATAGTCGATTACCATTGACTTTTCACGGCTCGCGACGGCAAGACGTGCCTCTTGATAATATGCTTTCTAGGGCTTCTTGAGAATAAACTTTTTATGATCTTAGTTCTCGTGGGGAAGCTACAGAGGCGTGGATGACGGCAGAATGGCGGAGCTAATCGCATGATTAGAAAGAAGTCAGGTGAAAATGTCGTCAGTAGGGAAATGGATTTGTTTATTATCAAGCACTATACTCAAGCTATGTTCACTGCCCGTTTTATCGGATTGTTGTGCCTATGCACTTGATTGCCCCTGAGTTCTACTATGAATGCTGCTCACTTTGATGAACTCACGTTTACAATTAAGCCCCCTCACTGATCTGTCCGGGCAGTTTTGATTTCCTGATCAATCTTTTTGTGGAAAGTTGACACAAAGAGCAAAAAACGTGGAGGATAAAGATATCCTTTTAAGCTGCGCCATGCATTCAAGTCTAACTCAAGATCGTCTTGACATTTCGAATGCAGTTTGGCTTAAAAACACTTTTGGAGCCAACCGATGTGCAAGTCACTGTTGTTAGACTAATGTACAAATCAGCGCGGTTAGGCCAATCTAGTACGGGCTAAGACTCGGTTAGTCCAAACGGACGTCCATTCGGGATGTGTTTTGGGTAGCAAGCTCGATAGCTAGCACTACTGCTATTAACCCCCACCTCTACCTCTACATTCCGGCATTACTGAGACGACAGACAACTCTAAAATTATCGCATTCTCAACCAGGACAGGTTCTAATCCCTGAGTTTTATGTGGCTTTAATGTAGAGGTTACTGCACACTACTCGTCGTTCATACTCTGTCTAGGACGAAGGTCTTCAACATCGAATTAAAACTCATTTGTAGAGGTGTTCTGACGTCATTAAACCGTGAAAATCCATGCGTTGTCAAAGATAACTTATGCGCCAGACCGTGAGAATAACAGTCCTGTTTACAGAGCAGGCAGTGTGGTTTTAAAGAGATTGATGCGGGCTGGATACACCTTCTATTACCAACGGGAAAGGCGATGACGTAGTTCCGCTCCTCCTTGTTTACTCTCAAAAAAGGCGTATTAAACAAAATTTCGACTAAGGCTGCGTTCATACTTTGCGGCAGCGTCCACCAGCGACCACTAGCGTTTCCGAGCGTCCGGCAGCGTCAGCGACTAGGAAAGTATAGATATCGATCTAGCGTCTACCAGCGTCTACCAGCGTCTGTCAGCGTGCCAGCGACCAGCAGCGTCTCGAGGTACTGGGAAAGTTTGGATTCGATGGCATCTCACATTCTTCGGCACTGTTCACTTCAAAGGCAGTTGGCACGATGGTTTCCCACTCGGCCTAAAATGCTAGTAGGGCGCTATGTAGGGGAAATGGCGAAAGAACGGAGTGAAACGGTCAAAATCCGGAAAAGCCTCCGTTCTCAGTGACTTGTAAATCGATTTCGGACGAGTTTCCCGTAGCATCTTGCCAATCACCGCTACCGAAGATACGGCTGCATATGTGTACCCATATATGCATGCAGCATCACGGCCGCTTCATACCAATCCCTTCGCTTCATAATTTGCTTAGCAAATGAATGAATACGAGCGTCAGGAACGGTCGTCCATTTGTGGGCGGGCGGGCGTTTGGGTCGGTATGTTGTGGCTTGATAGGGCCCTTATAAGGGCACCTTCCTCGGAGAAACCGCTATGCAGCGCCTGCTCAGGGTCGCGGAATTCCGTCCTGCCAGGCGTATTGATCCTAGTCGTCTTGGGGATTTATCGTGCCAACTGCCTTTAAGGTGGGAAGGGCGGAGGAGGGGGCTAGTTCGCTGCTTCCTTCAGGTTCCTCACCTTGGTGAGACTCGTGAACTCCTGTAAATCAGCAAAAAAAAGCATTGATCAGAATTAGTAAGGTGCACCCTTCCCTTAAGCGAAAAGAGTTCATTCATTGTTCATTCAGCATCGTAGTAGTTTTAAATACAGTGACTTTTACGACTATCGATACTTCGTAGAATCTAGGGCTCTTGTTGCCTACGACGGCACTCGGGGGTAGGTACTGTATGAGAGACTTCAAGGCACAGTCCAGGTTGATCGCATGGGCGGGGACCGGAAGATGCTGTGTCTTCTTCACCGTTCTCTTCACTACCCTAAGGAGAGGAGACTCACCATCGTGACAGGGACAGTGTTAGGCCGGCTCCCGCCCATCCAACCTGTATGAACAATGCCTCTAGAGCCTCGGGGGAAATGTTTTTTCTGAGACATTTTCTTATTGTTCCTTGGTCTACGTGGAGTTCTACAGGGAAGGGCTACAATCCTCCATTCATCTCCATAAAATTCACGAAATCTTTCCCAAGGAGGGCTGTTACCCTAATTAGTGACCTTGATAGTATTTTTTGCAATTCAGAGTCATCCTGTGGCTGTGCGACCGTTAACGTCAACCTGCCATGTATGTGCTGCAGAGGGTGCGACATTGCATTACGGAGGAGTAGTGTGCGGGTCAGTTCCAGTTGACTGTTTGAAAAATTTTCTCTGGGGATTTCTCTCAGGCTGTACACTACTAAATCCTCAACTAGGCCAGTCATTTTATTCGGGATAGCCCTTACTTAAGGCATATAAAGACGAGGGTATGTCTTCGAATTTTGGGTCAGGCCATACACCGTCACACCCTGCCTTGCAAAAATTTTTTGCAAAGTACGCCCTCCTCAAAATTTGCTGGTGCCACCCCACCTTCGCTAGTTCCCATCTTATTAACCATCTCTTGATTTTCCTAACCTCCTACTACTTTTCTGAAAACTTTCTTCCGGAAATCCTTCACTTTTCCTCCAGAAAAGTGTTGTCGATTGGGAAGGAGAGGAGGGACAGGGGGAGGGGGTGGAGGAGAGCGCACTCGAAACAGAAAAGCCAAGAAAAGTCCACAACTAAAAGTTTTTTCTCATTTCCTCTTTCCTCCAGCTACCATGCGACCCTTCCTCCTCGCTGGGGATCCCCTACGTACGATGTGCCACCTGGTGGTCCAATCAGCGCCATATCCACGGGATATGCTGGGCTTATCTCTCGGCGTATGCCGGAACCTTTCTGACCTTTGATCGTTGACGGTTTCATTGAGATCCTTGCAGTTACAAACATCATTCGTTTTCATTTTGATCGAGAATCCCTCTCAGCAGCGCATCGCCTCATAATCTTCACCGCCGACTAGATAGCTAATTTTAGGATATAAGGGGAATCTCATTTTTGATGTTCAGTAGGAGACATCTAATCGTATTCTATTTTCAGTGGTTGCAAAATATTTTTCGCAAGAGCTGTACAACGGAAAATCTACTACATTTGCGAGAAGTCAGGCTGCTGTCGGATGATTTCAGGTTTTAGCACTCTTTCACTTACTCATTATTCCCGATCGTTCCACTGAATATATTCATTTCTTCCCGCGCCCGGGTTTCCCTCTTCCAGCGTACGCAATTTACCCTCCCGCAGGTATAAGCTCCGGTTACAACCGCACCTTACCTCTTGCAGTAGCTGCGCTAATAGTGGCAATCATGCCACAACAGCAGACTTGATTAATTCCTATTTTAGCCGGGTTTTTCTTCTACCACTTCGTTCCGGTATTACACTCGGGGTATCACTTCCACGTTGCGGCAAGAGTGACGGAAAAGGGGTTGCAAACGGGTTCACGTGGGCGGCTTTTGAACCAGCAACCCGTCCCGCAGGTGGGCGCTAGATCAAGTTGGTCATGGTGATTGTTATGCTGGTCTAAGGCCTCGTTCTATATAGATCTCGCATGCCGTTTCAACCAAGAACATAATTCAAAGCAAAAACTCAAGGTGAAGAAAGGCGCCAAATCAGTTTTTGTAGAATTCATCGATTACTTGAATGTGTGCTGATGATTTATATTTTTCAAGGGAGAAGATCAAAGTGCAGATCGTGTCGATTTCAGCGATGTCTGAAAGCGCGAATGTGTCCTGAAGGTAATAAGGCCATTCAGAACAAATAGGTAAAGGCAGTTGGCACGATAAATCGCTATACAGGTGTAGGATTTGTACAACTGGCTTAACAGAATTCCGTGACCTCGGACAGGCGCTTCTTGGATTCTTGTACCCTGTTCTTGATCGAATGCTCGCCCTTCAGTAACTGGAAGTTACTGGCCACGCTGAAGGTACAGAATTCAAGAATAATATTTTATTGATGGTAACGCTAAGTCTTGGATCTTGTCCCTCGGAGTGCTCACCAGATTGTCTTGAGATCTTGTCCTTGACGTCTTGAACGCTCCAGTAGGACTCCAGCCTCCCATCCTCCAATCGACCACTTTTATATGGAATCTTATGTTGAAGTATGTAAACATAATCTAAAGAGAATTATTATTTAGAAGCGTTATAATGCAACATTGCTCACTGATCCGCCAAAAGATAAGAGGCTGAGAACTTGAGCGGCGGATGACTAATCGCTACAGTAACTGAGAGAAAAAGCTTCTAACCGTATGTTAAGTTGC